CAGTCATGTACCAGTCTACAGTCATGGTACAGTCTACAGTCATGGTACAGTCAACAGTCATGTACCAGTCTACAGTCATGGTACAGTCTACAGTCATGGTACAGTCAACAGTCATGTACCAGTCTACAGTCATGGTACAGTCAACAGTCATGGTACCAGTCTACAGTCATGTACCAGTCTACAGTCATGGTACAGTCTACAGTCATGTACCAGTCTACAGTCATGGTACAGTCAACAGTCATGGTACCAGTCTACAGTCATGTACCAGTCTACAGTCATGGTACAGTCTACAGTCATGTACCAGTCTACAGTCATGTACCAGTCTACAGTCATGGTACAGTCTACAGTCATGGTACAGTCTACAGTCATGGTACAGTCAACAGTCATGTACCAGTCTACAGTCATGGTACAGTCTACAGTCATGGTACAGTCAACAGTCATGTACCAGTCTACAGTCATGGTACAGTCTACAGTCATGTACCAGTCTACAGTCTTGGTACAGTCTACAGTCATGGTACAGTCTACAGTCATGGTACAGTCAAGTCATGTACCAGTCAACAGTCATGTACCAGTCTACAGTCATGTACCAGTCTACAGTCATGTGCCAGTCTACAGTCATGTACCAGTCTACAGTCATGGTACAGTCAACAGTCATGTACCAGTCTACAGTCATGGTACAGTCTACAGTCATGGTACAGTCAACAGTCATGTACCAGTCTACAGTCATGTACCAGTCTACAGTCATGTACCAGTCTACAGTCATGTACCAGTCTACAGTCATGGTACAGTCTACAGTCATGTACCAGTCTACAGTCATGGTACCAGTCTACAGTCATGGTACAGTCTACAGTCATGTACCAGTCTACAGTCATGTACCAGTCTACAGTCATGGTACAGTCTACAATCATGTACCAGTCTACAGTCATGTACCAGCCTACAGTCATGGTACAGTCTACAGTCATGGTACAGTCTACAGTCATGGTACAGTCTACAGTCATGGTACAGTCTACAGTCATGTACAGTCTACAGTCATGGTACAGTCTACAGTCATGGTACAGTCTACAGTCATGTACAGTCTACAGTCATGTACCAGTCTACAGTCATAGTACAGTCTACAGTCATGGTACAGTCTACAGTCATGGTACAGTCTACAATCAAGTACAGTCTACAGTCATGTACCAGTCTACAGTCATAGGACAGTCTACAGTCATGGTACAGTCTACAGTCATGGTACAGTCTACAGTCATGTACAGTCTACAGTCATGGTACAGTCTACAGTCATGTACAGTCTACAGTCATAGTACAGTCTACAGTCATGGTACAGTCTACAGTCATGTACAGTCTACAGTCATAGTACAGTCTACAGTCATGGTACAGTCTACAGTCATGTACCAGTCTACAGTCATAGTACAGTCTACAGTCATGTACCAGTCTACAGTCATGGTACAGTCTACAGTCATGTACCAGTCTACAGTCATGTACCAGTCTACAGTCATAGTACAGTCTACAGTCATGCAACATTTATAAATACATATAAACAGTTGAGGATGAGGAGCGCGGTGCCTTTAACCGCCACAAATGGCCTTGTTGCGCGGCGAGATGCGACTGATGGCGCTGTTGAGTAGTTTGTGAGCACATGGAGATGTCTTGGTACGTTACTGAGGGGGTCCGGTCGTTTGTTGCAGCGTGAGGCGATAGTGGTGATGCCGCAGGCCACTCCCAACAGTTTGCTTGCTTGGAGTCGTTCAGCAATAATGCGACTTCGTGATCTGCAAGATAATGCTTAAGTTAGGGCTGTGCCTGTCATGAGCGGAGATGTGGGGGTACTCACCTAGTTGTACTTGCGGGGGTTGAGCTTCGGATCTTTGGTCCCGCCTCTCAACTGTCAATCAACTGGTGTACAGGTTCCTGAGCCTACTGGGCTCTATCATATCTACATTTGAAACTGTGTATGGAGTCAGCCTCCACACATCACTGCCTAATGCATTCCATCTGTTAACTACTCTGACACTGAAAAAGTTCCTTCTAACGTCCATGTGGCTCATGGGGTACTCAGTTTTCCACCTGTGTCCCCTTGTTCGTGTCCCACCCGTGTTAAATTATCCGACCTTTATCACACTGTCAATTCCCCTGAAAATTTTGTATGTAATGATCATGTTTCCCCGAACTCTTCTGTCTCTAGCGATGGAAGATGCAGCTCACACAGCCTTTCCTCGTAATTTATGCCTCTTAGTTCTGGAAATAGTTTTGGCAGCATACGTTTTGGACCTTCTCCAGCTTCCTCAACCTTCTGTGCTTAAGAATGTATGGACTCCAGGCTGGAGCCGCATGTTCCAGTAGCCTGACATATATGTGTACAAGGTTTTTAAAGAATTTCTTACATAAATATCTAAAGGCAGTTCTTATGTTAGCCAACCTCGCATATGTCGCTGATGATATCTTTTCATTTGGGCTTCAGGAGACAGGTTCGGTGTGATATCAAATCCTAAATCTTTCTCTCTGTCCGTGTCGTAGTGGACTTCATCTCCCATTTGGTATCCTGTGTCTGGCCTCTTGCTTCCTCCAGTGGCTACGCCTAGCTTCATTACTTTACATTTACTTGAGTTGAATTTTAGCAGCCATTTGTTGGACTATTCCTTCAGTTTGTCTAGGACATCTTGTAGCTTCTTGCTATCTTCCTTGGTCTTAATCCTCCTCATCATGTTTGCATCATTAGCAAACATTGAGAGGAACGAGTCTATTCCCCTTTTGGAGATCGTTCATATATATCAGAAACAGTTAAGGTCCAAAGACACCCTGTGGAACTCCACTGGTGACGCCTCGCCACTCCGAGACCTCACCCCTCACACTGACTCCACTGGTGACGCCTCGCCACTCCGAGACCTCACCCCTCACACTGACTCCACTGGTGACGCCTCGCCACTCCGAGACCTCACCCCTCACACTGACTCCACTGGTGACGCCTCGCCACTCCGAGACCTCACCCCTCACACTGACTCCACTGGTGACGCCTCGCCACTCCGAGACCTCACCCCTCACACTGACTCCACTGGTGAAGCCTCGCCACTCCGAGACCTCACCCCTCACAGTGACTCGCTGTCTCCTGTTGCTTAGGTACTCCCTTATCCAATGGAGTACCTTCCCTTTCACACCCGCCTGCATCTCCAGCTTATGCACTAGTCTCTTATGTGGTACTGTGGCAAAGGCTTTCTGGCTCTACATCCAGCAACATGTATTCTACCACCCTTCTCTTTCTTGTCGTTTCTTCTTTCTTCTTTCTCTTATCGCCTAGTCATAGAACTGTTAATCCTGTGAGGCAAGATTTGTCATCTCTGAACCCATGCAGCTGGTGTATTATAAAGTTCTTTATCTCCAGATGTCATCTAGTTTTTTTTATCGCAATCTTCTCAATACCTTGTACGGTATGCAAATTAGGACACTGGGCTTTCAGTGCCTCCTGTTTGTCTTCCTTCTTGTATATCGGGACTACATTACCCGTCTTTCAAATTTTTGGCAGTTCTGTTAGCTGTGATTTACCACAATTGAGAGCGGCAGGCACAGTACTTCTGTTCATTCTTTTAGTATCCAGGGTGATATCCCCCCCCCTGGGCCTGTAGCCTGTCACAGCCACCTCAAGCAATTCCCTCCCCTCCCCCCCCCCATTGTCAATCCCATCCTCCTACAGTGGTGCCTGGTTAGATATTCCCGCTCTCACCTTAGTAACGTGTCTCGTGTGTGTGTGTGTGTGTGTGTGTTTGTGTGTGTGTGTGTGTGTGTGTGTGTGTGTTGGGTGTGGTGTGTGTGTGTGGTGTGTGTGTGTGTGTGTACTCACCTAGTACTCACCTAGTTGTGTTTGCGGGGTTGAGCTCTGGCTCTTTGGTCCCGCCTCTCAACCGTCAATGTGTGTGTGGTGAAACTGTGTGGAGTGCCTCCACCACATCACTTCCGAATGTGTGTGTGTGTGTGTTTGTGTGTGTGTGTGTGTGTGTGTGTGTGTGTGTGTGTTGTGTGTGTGTGTATCAGACTCTTCCCCGCTTAATAACGACTCGTTCACCGGCGCCAGTGTTCACCTAACGAGTTGATTAGTTCCGGACCTTCGTTACGTTGCGGCTCGCCCATTGCCACCAACAACAGCCCGTTGCATCAAGCGCAGTGTTTTTGTTTATCCGATGTATCTAATGCAACGTCTGAAAATACATGTTATTACCTCATACATCAGGGGAAACATGACGTTATGCGTTGTTGACGGTGTAGGGTCGAGCGTCAAGTTGACGCTCTGACGCTATCACTTGACGTTAGCACTTGACGCTATCACTTGACGTTATCACTTGACGTTATCACTTGACGTTATTACTTGACGCTATCATTTGACGCTATCACTTGATGTTGTCACTTGACGTTATCACTTGACGTTATCACTTGACGCTATCACTTGACGCTATCACTTGACGCTACCACCTGACGTTATCACTTGACGTTATTACTTGACGCTATCATTTGACGCTATCACTTGATGTTGTCACTTGACGTTATCACTTGACGCTATCACTTGACGCTATCACTTGACGCTATCACTTGAGGCTATCACTTGACGCTATCACTTGACGTTATCACTTGACGTTATCACACGATGCTACCACCTGACGTTATCACTTGACGTTATCACTTGACGCTATCACTTGACGTTATCACTTGACTTTATCACTTGACGTTATCACTTGACGTTATCACTTGACGTTATCACTTGACGCTATCACTTGACGCTATCACTTGACGCTATCACTTCACGTTATCACTTGACGTTATCACTTGACGTTATCACTTGACGCTATCACTTGATGATATCACTTGACGCTATCACTTGACGCTATCACTTCACGTTAGCACTTGATGCTATCACTTGACGCTATCACTTGACGCTATCACTTCACGTTATCACTTGACGCTATCACTTGACGCTATCACTTGACGTTATCACTTGACGCTATCACTTGACGCTATCACGGTGTGAGCACCGTGAGTGTGGTCGGGGCTCTTGTGAGCACCGTGAGTGTGGTCGGGGCTCTTGTGAGCACCGTGAGTGTGGTCGGGGCTCGTGTGAGCACCGTGAGTGTGGTCGGGGCTCGTGTGAGCACCGTGAGTGTGGTCGGGGCTCTTGTGAGCACCGTGAGTGTGGTCGGGGCTCTTGTGAGCACCGTGCGTGTGGTCGGGCTCTTGTGAGCACCGTGAGTGTGGTCGGGGCTCTTTGTGAGCCCGTGCGTGTGGTCGGGGCTCTTGTGAGCACCGTGAGTGTGGTCGGGCTCCTGTGAGCACCGTGAGTATGGTCGGGCTCTTGTGAGCACGTGAGTGTGGTCGGGGCTCTTGTGATCACCGTGAGTGTGGTCGGGGCTCTTGTGAGCACCGTGAGTATGGTCGGGGCTCGTGTGAGCACCGTGAGTATGGTCGGGGCTCGTGTGAGCATCGTGAGTATGGTCGGGGCTCTTGTGAGCACCGTGAGTATGGTCGGGGCTCGTGTGAGCACCGTGAGTGTGGTCGGGGCTCGTGTGAGCACCGTGAGTGTTTTCGGGACTTGTGAGCACCGTGAGTGTGGTCGGGGCTCTTGTGAGCACCGTGAGTATGGTCGGGGGGCTCGTGTGAGCACCGTTGAGTGTGTCGGGCTCTTGTGAGCACCGTGAGTGTGGTCGGGGCTCTTGTGAGCACCATGAGTGTGGTCGGGGCTCTTGTGACACCGTGAGTGTGGTCGGGGCTCTTGTGAGCACCATGAGTGTGGTCGGGGCTCTTGTGAGCACCGTGAGTGTGGTCGGGGCTCTTGTGAGCACCGTGAGTGTGGTCGGGCTCTTGTGAGCACCGTGAGTATGGTCGGGGCTCTTGTGAGCACCGTGAGTGTGGTCGGGGCTCTTGTGAGCACCGTGAGTGTGGTCGGGGCTCTTGTGAGCACCGTGAGTGTGGTCGGGGCTCTTGTGAGCACCGTGAGTATGGTCGGGGCTCGTGTGAGCACCGTGAGTGTGGTCGGGTCTCTTGTGAGCACCGTGAGTATGGTCGGGGCTCTTGTGAGCACCATGAGTGTTTCGGGACTCTTGTGAGCACCGTGAGTGGTGGTCGGGGCTCTTGTGAGCACCGTGAGTATGGTCGGGGCTCGTGTGAGCCCCGTGAGTGTGGTCGGGGCTCGTGTGAGCACCGTGATATGGTCGGGCTCGTGTGAGCACCGTGAGTATGGTCGGGCTCGTGTGAGCACCGTGAGTGTGGTCGGGGCTCTGTGAGCACCGTGAGTGTTTTCGGGACTTGTGAGCACCGTGAGTGTGGTCGGGGCTCTTGTGAGCACCGTGAGTATGGTCGGGGCTCGTGTGAGCACCGTGAGTGTGGTCGGGGCTCTTGTGAGCACCGTGAGTGTGGTCGGGGCTCTTGTGAGCACCGTGAGTGTGGTCGGGGCTCTTGTGAGCACCGTGAGTGTGGTCGGGGCTCTTGTGAGCACCATGAGTGTGGTCGGGCTCTTGTGACACCGTGAGTGTGGTCGGGGCTCTTGTGAGCACCGTGAGTGTGGTCGGGGCTCTTGTGAGCACCGTGAGTATGGTCGGGGCTCTTGTGAGCACCGTGAGTGTGGTCGGGGCTCTTGTGAGCACCGTGAGTGTGGTCGGGGCTCTTTGAGCACCGTGAGTGTGGTCGGGCTCTTGTGAGCACCGTGAGTATGGTCGGGGCTCGTGTGAGCACCGTGAGTGTGGTCGGGGCTCTTGTGAGCACCGTGAGTATGGTCGGGCTCTTGTGAGCACCATGAGTGTTTTCGGGACTCTTGTGAGCACCGTGAGTGTGGTCGGGGCTCTTTGAGCACCGTGAGTATGGTCGGGGCTCGTGTGAGCACCGTGAGTGTGGTCGGGGCTCTTGTGAGCACCGTGAGTATGGTCGGGGCTCTTGTGAGCACCATGAGTGTTTTCGGGACTCTTGTGAGCACCGTGAGTGTGGTCGGGGCTCTTGTGAGCACCGTGAGTATGGTCGGGGCTCGTGTGAGCACCGTGAGTGTGGTCGGGGCTCTTGTGAGCACCGTGAGTATGGTCGGGGCTCTTGTGAGCACCGTGAGTATGGTCGGGCTCGGTGAGCACCGTGAGTGTGGTCGGGCTCTTGTGAGCACCGTGAGTATGGTCGGGCTCTTGTGAGCACCATGAGTGTTTTCGGGACTCTTGTGAGCACCGTGAGTGTGGTCGGGGCTCTTGTGGCACCGTGAGTATTGGTCGGGGCTCGTGTGAGCACCGTGAGTGTGGTCGGGGCTCTTGTGAGCACCGTGAGTATGGTCGGGGCTCTTGTGAGCACCGTGAGTATGGTCGGGGCTCGTGTGAGCACCGTGAGTGTGGTCGGGGCTCTTGTGAGCACCGTGAGTATGGTCGGGGCTCGTGTGAGCACCGTGAGTATGGTCGGGGCTCGTGTGAGCACCGTGAGTGTGGTCGGGGCTCTTGTGAGCACCGTGAGTGTGGTCGGGGCTCTTGTGAGCACCGTGAGTGTGGTCGGGGCTCTTGTGAGCACCGTGATGTGGTCGGGGCTCTTGTGAGCACCGTGAGTGTGGTCGGGGCTCTTGTGAGCACCGTGAGTGTGGTCGGGGCTCGTGTGAGCACAGTGAGTGTGGTCGGGGCTCGTGTGAGCACCGTGAGTGTGGTCGGGGCTCGTTTGAGCACCGTGAGTGTGGTCGGGGCTCGTGTGAGCACCGTGAGTGTGGTCGGGGCTCTTGTGAGCAACGTGAGTGTGGTCGGGGCTCTTGTGAGCACCGTGAGTGTGGTCGGGGCTCTTGTGAGCACCGTGAGTGTGGTCGGGGCTCTTGTGAGCACCGTGAGTGTGGTCGGGGCTCTTGTGAGCACCGTGAGTGTGGTCGGGACTCTTGTGAGCACCGTGAGTGTGGTCGGGACTCTTGTGAGCACCGTGAGTGTGGTCGGGACTCTTGTGAGCACCGTGAGTGTGGTCGGGACTCTTGTGAGCACGTGAGTGTGGTCGGGACCTTGTGAGCACCGTGAGTGTGGTCGGGACTCGTGTGAGCACCGTGAGTGTGGTCGGGACTCACCTTCGACTCTACTGATCATGTAGGACTCATCTAAATATTCATACGTCGTTCCATTATATACTATGTGCTGCGAGGTCCCTGTACTACATAGGCTATGCAAATTAATATGTGTGTTTTATGTAGTCTTTGTCTAGTCAAATTTGCAACTTTCATGGATTGAATTTATTGTTGCGTTTTGTATAGCAAATGTATTAATGTCGTTTATAGTGTATATATTAATAGCATTGTCATTTTAATTGTATATATTTTATGAGGTTAATTTTATAATGGGTCTTGCCATTTACATATGTATATGTACTAGGATGGGGTACCGGTGGTGCCCGGGTCGATCACGGGCTGGGCTTGACCCCGCGCACTAAACGCTGGCGTTATGTTTTTGTTTTTATTAATATGAAGGGTTACACAGTGTGTGTCAAGAGCCAGCTGTGTGATACTAAGGTACCTGGACATTTATACAGCTGCCCTAGACTATATGAAGGGTTACACTGTGTGTGTCCAGAGCAGCTGTGTGATACTAAGGTACCTGGGCATTTGAGTGATGGCAAAGTGATAGTTCATTGTTATTGTGTGTGATAGTGTTATTAATGTTCAATAACACTATTGATAGTGTTATTGATGTTCAATAACACTAGTGATAGTGTTATTGAAGGGTCCTCTGATAGGTTAGGTGGGCAGGAAATTCTCATAAAGTTTCAAACGTTATAATAAACGTT